TGATCCAGATGAGGTTGATAATACTGATGCTCCAGTGTCTGTGGAGAGTTGTTTGGCTTGTTTCACAAAGCCTGAGCTTCTATCTAAAATTGAACATGCTTGGCAATGTGAAAACTGTGCAAAACTTCTACGGGAACAGAGGACGAGACTGAACAAGAAATTGCCGAAACCTAGATCAGGCGATCTGGAGAATGCGCCAAAGGACAGTAATCCAAGGGATATTGAACTGAGAACCACTAATGGAAGTGCTGTGAAAGGTGTGTCAGATGCTTTTGATGACGGGTCGGTGTACCAGAATAGAACAAATGATTACTCAAGTCAAGATGAAGCTTGTAGTGTAGTAAATCGCGATAAGAGAGTTAAGTTGGATGAACCTGAATCTGAAGAAAGTGAAAATGAGACGGACTCTAAAGGTGTCAAAGTGGAAAGAGATGCAACTAAAAGGATACTCATTGATAAAGTCCCTCCAATTTTGACTATTCATCTAAAGAGGTTCAGCCAAGATGCTCGAGGACGCTTAAGTAAGCTCAGTGGCCATGTGAATTTCAGAGATACTATTGATATCACAACATTTATTGATCCCAGGTGTGTTAATTTTCCTTCCTTTGAAAGATCAGTTAAAATCAGATTTTTTGGCTGTCTTCATTAAATTGAGTTTCGAGTAATTCTGTTCATCTTGTAATAAGAACCTGCAATAGATTATTCAAAACTGATGAAATCCATATCAGTTAAGCGGACTCTTTAAACATAATAAGCTTTTGGAGATGAGAAATGATTGTGTAATGTAATATTGTCTCCTTCCATTAGAGAAAGTTTGACCTTAGACTGAAGAAATAACTATTGTATCGAGATTTATGGAGAAACAGAGTTGTTGCCTTCTTCTCTGTTTGAGATTATTTTATTGAACTTTCAAAGTTATTAAATAAAATAGTTCATTGGAGATTTCCAGCAAGTATAGCTTAAAGCATGTGATGGTAAGATTGGGGGGTCAAATGTGGAAGCATCTGTCTGTCAAATATCATTTGAAGAAGGCCGCACACTTTTTATCGCGGATTGGCAGTCGTTTCCAGTCCTTTGAATTATTGAATTTCTTGCTCTTCTCCGTGATGTGCCTTCGGTTTATCCATGCAAGATAGTGTTACTGTCCTTTTTTTGGCTTGACAGTTTAGAAACTGTTCTCCCGATTGGTTCTGGTCCATCTTTGATTTTAGAAGTTCTTTTTTTGGGGGGGTGGGTGGGTGGTGGGGGTCGGGGGGGGGGGTGTAAGTATGGTCTTCTGATTTCAGGAGTATTATTTACCCTTGGATTTGTATAAAAGTATTTTGGAACATCTTTGAAACTAATTTGACATGGAAACACAAGCAAACTTGTATCTGTTTTTTTTACCCCTCTGGGGGTGGACGCCGGGGAAGCCATAGTTTTTTTTCTTATGATTAGTTAAGCTAGAAAATTGTCTCTGAATCTCAGCTCTAATATGTTCCATCAGCTTATTTTTCACCTTTTTTAATTTTATATAGAAGCACTTGATATGATTGACGTTTCTGCATGGAACTTGTTATCCAAGTGATCGAACATCTTAAATGATATTCCAGTGCTTTGATTTTCATTTTGAACTATCTGTCACTGGTTTGAAGTTAGTGTTCCGTGAGTGTGTAGCGAACCTGATGTTGGAGAGGATTCACCAAAAACGGTTGTGAAATATGAAATTATTGGTGGATCTTTATCTATTCTTAGTTGGATCCTTATCTATTCTTTAGTGTATTTTCGTATTTCTAGACTTCTATTATTATTTGTTGTTGTCTTTGCTTCGGTTTCTGATTGCACTACCTAGTGTTAGTTTTGTGTTTTCGCTTGGTTTTCTGATTGGTTTGCTTGTCATTGCCCCTTCCTTTTATCTTTCATGAGCCGAGGGTCTATCGAAAACAGCGTCTTTACCTTTTAAAGGTAGGGGTAAGGTCTGCGTACTTACCACCCTCCTCAGACCCCACTTGTGGGAATACACTGAGTTTGCTGTTGTTGTAGTTGGCTGTGAACTCTTTAGTCTTATTCAGATGCTTGTTTGGTTTATTAATGATTAACCCATTTTAAAAGATTGATTTGTCCATTAAAGAAAGAGTATATTGATATCCGTAAAATTAATGATGTTAAATAAATGGTATATTTTTGTGCTGTGAAACCAGAAAAGAGAAAAAGAAAGACTTTTGAAACCAAGTCGACGAGACTCAATTGAAAACATGTAATAGTATTTTGCACGGTGCATATTATTTCCAGGACCGAGTAGGTCAAGTCTCTTTTGCAAAATGTTATCTGTCTGCAGTGGTCTGATAATGAAATGATGTAACTGCAGGTGCCTGCAGAAGGAGGTTTACAAATACCGGCTTGTGGGTGTCGTGGAACATTCAGGGACTATGAGGGGAGGTCACTATGTTGCATACGTTAGAGGCGGCCCAAAGATTGTTGGGAAAGACAAGGACGCGGAAGATCATGTGTGGTATTATGCCAGTGATGCCTACGTACGAGAGGTCTCATTGGAAGAAGTTCTTCGGAGTGAAGCCTATATTTTGTTCTACGAAGAAATTTGATGCGAAATTCTTCGCAATTCTTTTGACATCAAAATGGTCGGGGTTCAGTTGATCACCCTACAGGTTCGCGTATGAGAAACAAATACGTATACACAACGAGAAGGGGTTTTTGGGGAGGGGTTGGAGGGTAGAAAGGTGAGTTGTATTACTACAATCATAGAGTATTAACACCCATTTTTTGTTATTTTTCAAATTTCAAAATGCCATCACTTAAAGATGTACATGTTGAAAAATGCATGTAGAGAAAGAGTTCAATTCTTTGTTATGCAAAAAGAAGCAATCCTTATTTACCAGCATGGGGTGGTAAGTTTATGCTTATTAATTTCTTTTCTTATTTTGTATTAATTGTTTACCAAGATGTACATGTTGGAAAATGATGAGTTTGACTGAACATTGTCACTCAATATTTTTCCTTTAGTGGGAAAAGTTAAAATCGGCCCGTGAACTTTGTGAATGTTGTCGGGTAAAGTGCACAAACAGCCGTTCTTAGGGCTACTATTTAGGGATTAGTCAGTACATATTTTACTAAAACTAGTACGAGCTAGCCTGTTTTCGGACGAGTCATTCAAAAATAATCAGTGTTTGCAAAGTCATTGAAAAATAACTACTATTTTGTTGCAATACGGAAAGTTCTAGCATTATAGACTGGAGATGCTCCAATCTCCAGTATATTATGCTGGACCGGTATATTATACTGGAACTCCAGTATAATCCAGTATACTTATGTTGGAACTCCAGTATAATATACTAGAGTTCCAGTATATTATACTGGAATTCTAGTATATTATACTGGAGTATTTTTTCGGATTTTGAACAGTGTTTTCGATTAGATTTATCTTTACATGAAAAGTGACTAATTTTCAATTACTTTTGAAACTGTGGCTATTTTTGAATGACCACTTGTAAATCTGATTATTTTTTAATTTCTCCCCATATTTTATCGTGACATTTGAACTAAAAATTTTAATTATACAACAATTTATGATATTTCTGTCCCGAAAAATTGAACTGAAAACTAAAACTGGGGATGCAATTGGCGAATTTTTTAATAACAGCCATTTAGAATAGCTACCTGATGTCATTTCTACAATGTTGTCCATGCTTTTCTAAAAAGTTTGCTAAAATCTTGAAAGCCAGGTAATACGTATGGAAGTTTAATTTAATTTATATTTACATCAATCTATCAAATACATTATACGTATAGTTACATACACTATTATCACTAAATTATAATTTTTAATACATATTTCAATCATGATAAATTAGTACGATTTGATTTAACTATTGAGTATTGAGTACAAATAATTTTTTATAGTATTTTGAGCATCCTCTTTGGTTACCACCATGTCTGCCTATATTTTGTACCTTGTGGTTACTTTGGTAAGTTTCAAGACACAGAGGCTGAAATTCAGGAAAATAAAAGAATCTTTAAACCAATGTTCCAAAGACATCCATACAAAGATTAAATAGTAGCATACAAAAAGAAACAAATAATATCATCTGTCCAAGAAAACATTCATTCACTTCATCACTTTCAAAGTTCTCAAAATCTCAAACACCAAAAAGAAAAAGCAAACTCACAAAAAGAAAACAACAAAAGAAAAAGGAAACAGCTAAAAGAACACATAAAAAAATAAAAAGATAAAAGAAACCATCTTCTTGTTCATTCTTCAGTGTTCCTTTTTATATTCAGTATTCTCAATTTACTGGTTCGACTAATTTGGATTTGCACTGCGCATGATTCACCTTAATGCATTACAACAACAACTATGTCAATATAATCTCACGAGTAAAGTATGAGGGAGGGTAGTGTGTATGTAGACCTTACGGCTTACCCTTACCTTGTGAAAGTAGAGAGTCTGCTTCCGATAGACCCTCGGCTCAAGGAAAAGAAAATTTCGACAGTAGTAAAAAGGAAATACAGTTGAAAAAGCTATAGAAAAATAAGCAGTAGCAATAAAGAATCGAAGCAAAAGAAACAACACGTAGTAATAAAAATCTAAGAAGATTTGCAGTGCCGATAGCTTACTAAGGGGTCGTTTGGTTGGGAAATAAGTTATCCCATGATTAGTTATCCTGGAATTAGTTATCCCATCCTCTCATAGGGATAAATAAAAACACTACAATCCCGACATAACTAATCCGGAATTAGTTATACCACTATTTTATTCCAACCAAATATTGAATAAACTCATCTCAAATTTAATCCCGAAATTAATTATCTCTTATCCCTCGTACCAAACGAGTCAAAAAGAAAAGCACTCCTTTGTATGTGTTTTTCAGCTTTTAATAATCGAACTCGAAATCTCCAATTAAAACTAAAAACTACCATTATCTCACAACATTATGTTATGGACCTTAATTAATTATACTTAGTTCCCATTCCTCTATTTGATTCTTCCTGCTTCAGTCCTTTTGTCCACACTGTACCATAACATTCTCCTTTCCTTTTTTGCCCTTTCTTTAACAAAAACCCCAACTTGTCACTCTCAAAATTCCCACTCTCAAACCCCACCAAAAAAGAAAAAAAGAACCCCAACAAAACCCATAAATTTTCTTGAACTTTTAGTTTCATATCAATGGCAAAACCACCATTTCAAGTGGTGTTTTTGTTCATATTTTTCTCATTTTGCACCCAAATAGTTAAAGTAAAAGCAACATGGTGTGTAACAAGAAGTGATGCAAGTGAAAAAGCTTTACAAAATGCATTAGATTATGCTTGTAGTTCTGGTGCAGATTGTGTTACTATTTTGGAAAATGGGCTTTGTTTTCTTCCTAATACAATTCAAGCTCATGCTTCTTATGCTTTTAATAGTTATTATCAGCGCAGAAATAGAGCTCCTGGTTCTTGTGATTTTGCTGGCACTGCTACCATTGCCAAAACTGATCCAAGTAATTTCTTTTTTTTTTTTTTTTTTTTTTTTTTTTTTGCATTTTTCCTTTACACTTTCTTGTTATAGAATACTTCCGTTAGTTTCATTTTACATGACACTATTATTATTTCTTGAGTCAAAAGAAATTTTTCTTACCACGATTTTCTTAAATATTTTATAAAATATTTTTATATAGTGCAGTCCGGTATACTAAGCTCCCGCTATTTGTGGGTTCGAAAAAAAGCGAGACCACAAGGTTCTATCATACACGTAGGGGCCGATTTAGGGGATGGTAGGGGGTTCACGTGAAACCTCTTCGCCGGAAGATTACGCTGTATATATAAGATAAAATCCGTTTTGTGTCTCTATGTATTATATTTTGAATCCCCTTGATACAGTCCAAAAGCTTACCTCAGTGGTCAACGAGATTCAAAATCTTTGTGAGGTTGCTTGTTCTATTCCCATTGGCCATAATCTCTTTTAATTTTTAATTTTTTAATTATTTTGAACCCCATTGGCCAAATTTTGCCTCCACTACTGATTGCACGCAGCTTTACCCTGCATTGCTGTAAGAGGCTGTTTTCACGGCTCAAACACGTGACCTCCTAGTTATATTATAATAACTTTACCAGTTGCGCCAAGGCTCCTACTATATATATGCATCAAAGATCAGTTATTTATGGGTTGAGAAGTGATTTTTTTTTTTTTTTGTAATGTAGGTTATGGATCTTGTGTTTATCCAGCATCTCCAAGGTATGAGCTTTAACTTTCTCTGTACATTGCTTTGCCTCTTCTGTGTAATTCTTGATATTTAATGCTGTACATTTTTCTAGTTATTTCTTATCTTTTGTTATTTAATTTTCTTGAAAGTGGTCCTAATAATATACTAATAAAGAAGAAGAAAAAGTGCAAGAGAAGAAACTTGTAGACAGCAAAGAATGTCTAGAACACTTGTTAATAGTAAGATTATAATATTTTAATTTGTTTGCAGATGGTGTTTGTTCTTCTAAAAGAATGTCGAATATTCTCTATATTTGGAGAGTAAAACTACAAAAAGAAAATCTCTTAGAAAAAAGAGCAAACTATATAAATTTCCAATAACACTTTGCAATGCATGGGGGTAGGACTATTTTGGCGTTTGTTTTGCTGCTAAACCTCTTTAGTTTTGAGCCATTCAATTGTCCTTGTATGGACAGTCTAAAGGCTGCAAAAGCCAGCTAAGCAATCTGGCAACAATAGTCATCTCGAGCACAGCATTTTGATTTTGACTAGACATTTTTTACTGTATGAATTTCACTTATATACATTGTGTAATTAAAAAATTTCAGGTCATTTAATTCTACTTTTTATGTATAGTTAGCTCCTCTTATCTTCTAAGAGGTCGTTTGGTTTGAAAACAAGTTATGTTGTAATTAGTTATATTAGGATTAGTTATGTATTGTTGGGATTAGATATCTTGATATTATTTTTTATTAATTGTTTGATATGTTGTATTAATCCTATATGGGATTACTATTCCATCCCCTGGCAGATATAAGTTTACCGGCTACTAATTTTGATCCTGGAATAACTTATCCTAGAATTAGTAACCAAACAAGGGGTAAGGTGATACTAAATTTTTATCCCAATATTATTTTCACTTATCCATCATACCAAACGTCCCCTAAGTGACTTCATAGTGTAGGCATATATATGTGCAGAAAATAAGTATAGATCGACTTAGATATATATTTTAGTACCCTACGTCTAAGTTTTGAATCCGCCACTGCATGTACGCTAGTTAGTAGCTTGCCGATGCATCAATCAATCTGCTAGTAAAAGATCATTTGCTCTTTCAAACCAAACATGTATATGGACAAGTTATGATTATCATGTATGCTATTATTCGTGTCAATTCTGTTGTACAAAATTGGAATTCTGATCTTAAATGTAACTTGGATTCTGTAATATTTCAGCACTGCTGGTGGCTCTACTACGCCGAGCACCAGTGGTGGTGGCACGACTGGCGGGACGACTACACCAGTCACGACGTCAACTCTTTATCCACCACCACCAGGGACGGCAAATCCTTTCAATGGCAATGGAGGAACAACACCGCGCGTTGGACCTGATATTCCTGACTCAGAAGAATCTAAAGCTTCTCACAAGTTCTCAAATTTACTTCTTGCATCTTTGATGCTTCTCTTTATTCATATTTTTCAACCATTTTAGGCATTTCTGGTAGAGTAAATGTTAGTTTTGAAGACTAGGACAGTAACAATTTTGGTTAGAAAAAGGGAAGTTTTCATTTTGCTATTATGAAAACTTCAGCACATTAGAGTAACGTATTGGTCTTTATTAATATCAATTGTCTAGGCATGTTGATAACAAGGTTGGGTCCTACCCGAAGGCGTTAATCTAGTGGTAAGAGCGCAACATGTGATATGTGAATTAGGCGTACGTCACACGTTCGAACTCGAAAAACCTAACCTTTTAAATGGAGAACGGTTAAGGGGCAGGTTCATTATTCACCGAGTTTCAAACGTGAGCAATTGGCCTTCGGTAAAAATGATAAGTCTAGGTTCATTGTTATGTTAAAACCAATTCATTTGTTAGCATGTCCAAGTTCTACCATTCTGTGTTTATACTTTGCATACCCATTTCAAGTTTATACTTTGCATTTCACTTCATATTGATAATTGGGTCACAAATTAATGATTTTGACCGTTTTTCTTTTGATTATATTTCTATTTTTGTTCTTTGGTGGGAAGGGGAGCCTTGACGTAACCGGTAAAGTTGCTACCTGTGATTAGAAGGCTACGGGTTCGAGCCATGGAAATTGTTTCTTGCAGAAATGCAGGGTAAGGCTGCGTACAATAGACCCTTGTGGTCCTGTCCTTCACCAAACCACGCGCATAACGATAGCTTAATGCGTCGGGCTGCCCTTTTTTTTTTTCTCTTTGGTGTGAGAAAAATATTACAAAACTATTCATTGTTTAAAAAGAAAATCTCATTTTTCCACTTCATGTTTTCCATACAAGACGATATCTAAATTAAGATTCTTGGAATTATGAATCAAAATGAAGTAATTAATCCTATTTATTTGAATGGAAATATAGCTATATATTTCTTAATTTTCATATATTTTATTATTTATGATTAATAAGCTGTAAAGCTGGTACATTGTCTCTAATCCCGTTTGCTTCTATCTCCCATCATCTGCTTCTGTATTGCACATCAAATAAAGGGGTTTTCTTGATTATTCACAATTTGAAATATTCAATCTAACGAAAAACTTTATAAATGGAGAAGAAAATAAAGGAAAAATATGAATATTTTACTTTATAAAAAGAATATAATAACTAGATGAAGGGGAATGAGTTTATTTTACATTCACAACAAATCACATATAAATTACAGAAAATATCAAAATTCAAATGTGATAGTCTTCCAAATATACATCAAATGAAGGGTTCCTAATTACATGTACAATTTTTAATATATTAAAGAATATTAATATTGTCAATCATGATTTATGAATCATCATTTCCAAAGAATAGAGTTATTTTTTTCCTCTCTCAGCTAATTTACAAGTAAATTGGGGTCAGATGATATTTTTTATCCAATCAAATTGGTATTTTCCAATTGGCCAGGGCTTAATTACCTTAGGTTTAACAGGGCATTTCTCGGGTTGCCTGACTATGTAAATTATATCTCCAGCTTTATTGTACATATCTTGGTTCCTATGCCATGTCCATAGAGCATGTGTCTCATTTTTCACCTGCAAATTATCAGCAAAGATTAACATATCAGATTTCTGTAACTATGAATCAAAAATGTTACCATGTTATGGCATTTAGTGGTAATAAGCCGATAACTAAAGTTACAAGAACTAGAACGTATAACATGACGATACGCCTTCATTCCTACTTCCCATATTAAAAACTTTACAACTTTCTTTTTGGTTTATAGGTCGGAAACATCCTCTCTGGGGGGTAAGGTCTACGTACATACTACCCTTCCCATACCCCACTTGTGGGATTACATTGGGTCTGTTATTGTTGTTGTTTTTGGTTTATAGGCTAATTTGACAAGTTATTGCGATCTTTGAATGGTCTATAGATTAAACGACAACAAGAACAACATACTCAATGTATTCCCACAAGTGGGGTCCAGGGAGGGTAGTATGTACGCAGTCGTTACCCCTATCTTGTGAAGGTAGAGAGTCTGTTTCCGAAGACCCTCGGTTCAATAGATTGACTTTCAAAATAATCTTGTCCTACAAACGATTTTTTTGATAACCAAGAATCTCTGAGGGCCAATTGGCGCACAGTATGAGACTCAATGGACAATGGATCCACCCTACTGTGGTAGAGTTCGAACTCGTGACGTGTGCCTACCACACATCAAGAGTTGCGCTCTTGCCACTAGACCAAAGCTCTAGAGGCTGCTAGAAAACAATTATCTTAATCTTAAGGTATAAGTTAAAGGAGTGTGAGGTATACCTAAAATTCTGTTTCTCTGGTTGCTTATAATCATTCAGTAGGAGTAGAATCGATAAATATCATGACGAATGAAATAAATATTTACCTCTATAATTCCATGGCCGAAGCTACTTTCTCTGTATGCGCTATAATCAGGTTGTTGATCCCAACAAAAGTTACCAGCTGCTGGACCTGATGTAAAATTATAGGCACAGAATCCGCCCATAAATTTGTCTGGTGTGCTATCTGGTTTAGGACATTTCCCTGACTCATCAGCATGTTCAATTGCCATCTTCTCGCGGTTTCCACCATCACCGACAGTTATATAGACTGGACCACAAGGATCCAGTGTGTAGTTATAGACTCTGTTTGACCTTTCGTAGGCATGAACCTATATAGATTTTTTCAACTTATCAGTATTTGATACATAGATGTGCAATTTGAATGAAAGAGCATACATGAGCATTCATCTTACTGCTCTAGACTAAGGGTATATTAATCTTGTACTTACATGTCCATTGAAGACTAAATCGACACCATACTCGTACAGCAAATCTTCCATCGCTACCTTCATACATTCAGCTTCTCTATAGTGTGCCGTGTAAGTAGAGTACCAAGGTGGATGCCAAGTGGCAACCAGCCACGGAGTAACTCTCCTATCAACATTAGCCAAGTCCCTTTCCAACCACTTGTATTGATCATCTGTAATCAGAAGCTTAGAGAATCATAACACTTTGCTAGATGGAGCAGAATGGGAAAGAAATGAAAACGCAGGACACAGTCCAGCCGCCCAATGGCTTGAGACAAATTTCCAAAGTCGACCGTAAACATAACAAGGGGAAAGAGAAATAGGATTGAAGAAAGGTTATGAGTGATGTTTACCTGACTTATTATAGGCGACATATCCCCCGAGCATGATGAAGTGTATGCCTCCCGCATTAAAAGAATAGTAAAATGGGGATGATGATCCACTTTCTTTTGACGGGAATGCAAAGCGAGAACGATAGGCTGCAAATGTCTGATTTTCAGCTTGTTCTTCTATCTCATGGTTCCCCTCCACCACCATGATAGGAATTTTGGACACCAGCGGCTGCATATATCTATAGCGACAATGTCAGAAAACAGAAGCACAAATTAAACTAGTGAAGTATATATGTGTCTGCTCTGACAGAAATCTAAAACTGGTCTTTTATGAATGATCAGGTGTTATCTCAGTTGAACCCTGAACTCTCAGTACAGAAGTTGAACTATTCATTTTGTCTAATGGATCACATTTTATTAATTTATTCGTGATGTGTGAATCAAAATTTTGAATGAGCAAAAGGAGCTCTCACCTTCCCCAATAGTCCCACCGAGGCTGATAGGTCTCGTGTATCGGAGTGTCGTTAAATGAGCACGAATAGCAATCTGAACCAGTTCCGTTCGAGAGATACAAATTAGCATATGTGACATCTCCAACCAATAGAACAAGATCTGGATTGTTCTCCATCAAATGGCTAACAGTGGAAGTGGTATTGTACGTTAGACCGAGGTCCCCTACAATGGCTATTCTCTTCGGGTAGCTCTTTGGAGAAGAAATAGGCATGGTCTTGAAATGGTAGATAGTACTCATAGCTGGTATAGAAGGATCTCCACATCGATAATAGTATAATGTATTTGGTTTCAACCCTGTAGCAGGAAAAAATGCACCAGATGACTAAATCAAACATGAGAAACAAATTAGCTACATAGGAGACTTGCATTAGTTAATCCATTGTGATGGTCCAAACCCTTCTCCCCCCCACCCCACCCCCACCCCAACCAACCAATTCAGTAGACATGAACTTTGCAGAATGAGACTTTGAAAAGGATACTTGCTGCAGTTGTAAACATTCAAAGACCTAAAGAAAGTCAAACTGTGCGTCTTCAAACTGCCTCAAAGCATGAGCTATATACATTTTCGCAGAAAATCAAAACTAAAAGCATTCTTGCAGTTGTAGAGACACCTAACAGCAGCAAATCAAACTGTAGTGAAGATACTTCTGCACATTATCGATCTAATAGAGGCAACATTCAAAGTTTGATCGTTCAGAAGATTTACCAAGCTAAACTTATTTAAGAGATGAATAGTAACTGTGTGATGCATGATTCCTACTTCTTAGTATACGACCACTTTGTCCATGATGTCAAGTTACGAACACTGACATCTAGTTCAAACATTCAGTTCTTTGCATAAAGAGTAAAAGCTGACGCGATGAATAAATGGTTTGGTTATATTCAAAAGTAGCAAGTGTACTAGTTGATATCTCAGAGACTGTACTAAACATCGAACTAGCAGAACGCAATCTCAGCTAGGACAGAGGAACGGCTGTTCAGTTTCTGCTAGCATACCTGTAAGTTGAACATGGTGTATGACTCCAGAAGTGTAGTTCTGAAGTCCTTCAAATGGATAAAGTTGATTATATATAAGGGACTCGCCGATTGCTTTGTGCCTTAACAAGGATTTATCTTTCCCATATTGAACAAAGCTGCCAACTTTTTTTGGATCCAGTGGTTTAACGTTGTCACCAATTTGATATTCCCCTGCAAATACAGTAAACCACACATTCTTAAACTCCGTCTCAAATCAAAGATGTTAAGGCCCTCTAACCAGTCAGCCAAAATATATCTCAGCTCACACAATATAAAATTGCATAAACCAATAGAAGATTTTTGTTTCCAACAATATGCTCATATCACTGTCAATTGAAAGTTGGCCACGACAAAAAAGCATACGACGTATATCAAAGGTACCATTTTAAAGGTACCATTTTATCAACTCAAATTTGGTGACAGATAAATTGAATTTAACATATCTCAGATCGAAGATGTTAATGCCCTCTAATCAATTAGTAAATAT